GCCGGGTGGGAGACAGCAATAAGACCTCACAGTGGTTTTGTTTTGCTAGATAAAATGCAACATGTATATTTTATGTTTGTCTGATGCTCTTGTCACCAGAACAGTGCATTTAATAAAATTTATTTAGATGCAAGTACAGTAAGGTACCCAGACCACCCTTGTAGGGCACTGACAGCTGCTTAGCCCCTCAGTCCACAGCCAGACACGCTATGCCAAGGGTTGGCAACTGTTTTGGCTGGAGGGCCACTTAATGAGTTTGGGTGAGTTGTTGAGGGCCACACATACAAAATCTTTTAGAATATATTATTTTAACAAATTACAAATAAAAAAAAAAATCATATAAACTAAAATTAAACATCTACTGTAACACTTTAATTTTATATCAAAAAATATTCTTGTCCTGATATGTTTTTTGAGTAGTGTATATAGAGGCAATTGCATAATAGCTCAAAATAGTCTTATTTTTGTATATTGTGCACGTGTGTGGGGTGGGGGGCTGCTTGTGTGCCAGGTCACAGGAGCTGGCCGGAGATGGGGGGAGGTGTGTGCAGCTTCCTGGCGGGGCTGTTCCTGGTGCGGCTGCAACCACCCAGGTATTCCTCAGCTCCCCCACCTCCATTGGCTCCTCCTTCTCTACCTGCTGCCTCTCCTGCACTGCTCTGGGCAGTGGATAGCACAGGGAAGTGGCAGTGACTCTGGGGACGTGTGCCAGGCACCACACACCCAGCCAGATCAGCTGGAGGCTGCAGCCAGGTGACTCTTGCCCCAGCCCGCAGGCCTCCAGTTCCAGCTCCTGGCTGCCTGCAGGTGGGTGCTAGTCGTGCCAGGTGGGCAGAGTGGGTGGAAGGCAGCCTGGAGCTGGAGCTGGAGCCCTGTGTACTGGGGCAGGAGACGCTTGGCAGCAGCTTTGCTCCAGCCTGGCTTGGAACGTGGGACTTGGCATGTGTCCTCACGGCTTCCTGGTCTTACCTGCTTCCTGGAGCGGTGCAGCAGGGGCAGGAGGAGGGGGAGCCACTGGAGTACTCGGGCGGCTGCAGCTGCAGCTGAACCGGGAGCAGCCACTGGGAAGCTGTGCACGCTGACCGGGGCTGGAGCCGGGGCAGGTGGGAGCAAGGAGTGAGTGGGGCTTGGCCCCATGCAGAGCTCCGCAGGCTGGATACAGTGCATTGGTGGTCACCAGATCCAATCAGCTGGCATGCCAGATCTGGCCCGCAGGCCGTATTTTGCCCACCCCTGCACTATACCCCTTATGTCAAAGCTGTGTCCATGTTTCAGGTGGTTACCGGAGTCCTATATGGTCACTGAAACAAGGACGTTTCCAGCTCCTTGCCCCTTAGTCTTGACCAACATTAGAAATCTCCCTCTGCAGTATTGTCCCCAGGACAGCTGGTGCCGGCAGTGTTAGAGCACTAGCTTGATACATGGATTGGCTTTCAACAACCTTTATCTCACTGTGTTGTCCAGACCGCCCTCATCTCCATCCCTACTTCCATAACAGCTATCATCTGTGGAGTTGCCCTGGGATCATTCATTAGTAGGGGGTTCCGAAATCTCTGCCAGTGTAGACCCTGCCAGAGAGATTTAGTGTCCCCTAGTCCTCTGTCAAAGGGTTGCTACAGGGCTTGTTTCATTTCTTTAGATGGCTTTGAGTCCCTTTATAAGCTCTATAAAAGACGTTATATGATGCGGTTGTCTTTGTGCTGGACTTGATGGTCCAGTCCTATACTCCTTTGAGATCCTAAAGCAACCAGGCATCAGCTAAGGCCTTGGGTGTGAGGAATTTGCACTGGTTTAATTTAAATTGCTTTAAAAATTGGTGGAGTGAAATTGGTGTTTGCCAGATTTGTATTAGTTTGTAACAGACTGCATTGATTTAACCCAGGGGCACACAATTTATTTGGCTGGAGGGGCCGCTTAATGAGTTTTGGTGAGGTGTTGAGGGCGACAAGGATAGTCCTGCCCCCTGGTTGCCATCTTGGGACCAGAAGTCCTGCCCCTAACACCTGTCCTTGCTACTGAAAGTCCCTCCCCGTGCCCCCTGGAAGTATTCCTTTAGGGTGGGGAGGGTTGTCATCTTGGAACTAGAAGAACTCCTGTATATGGTGTGTGGGGCAGTGTGTGTGTATGGTGGGGTGTGGGGACCCGGGGGAGGGATGTGGCTGTGTGTGGGGGGCACCAGGGTATGCTGGAGGATGTGTGTATATGTGGGGGGAGGGTTTGGGCATGTGGTGTTTGTGGGGTGTAGGGGGGCTTGAGGACCACCCCCGTGGCACACAGCCCCTGCCACCAGTGGCAGCAGCAGGTTGCGGGCGCTCAAAGCGCTTGTGGCCCACACAAGGGCTGCTGTCCAGCAGCATGCGGCTTCAGCCAGCACTGCAGGTGGTGGCAAGAAGTGCAGCCAGGCCGGCCCGCTTCTGGCTGCACATGCAGCTCCTGGCACTTGTGTGCCACTGGGGAAAGCACTGCAATGAAGCCAGTAGCCTTTGTCTCTTCCTGCCGTGCAGGTCCCAGGACTTCTCCAGGAAGCAGGGCATGAGTTTTCCCTCCACTTCCAGCAGAGTCCCAGGACCTATATACAGCAGGGAGTGGTGAAGGCAGCCAGCTTTATCATGCGGGGCTTCGCCTGGTGGTGATTGAGTGCCAGGAGCTGCATGTGTGCTGTGTGGATGGTCATGTGATAGAGGTGGTCTGGCCTAGCTGCGCTCCTCGCTACCATGTGCAGCACTGGCTGGAGCCACACACTGCCTGGTGACAGCACCTGCACAGACCATGAGTGCCCCGAGTGCCCACTGCCTGCTGCTGCTGCTGGTGGCAGGAGTTGTGCCTCCAGCCCTATCGCTTCCCTACCTGGTGTCCAGAGCAAGCGGGACGCCGGGGAAGCCAAGCAGGTCCCCCAGTATCTGCAGCAGTGGCAGCAGCAGCCCCACCTGGAAGCTTTCTGGGCTGGGGCCTTGCACCCAGGATGGTGGGCGCGAGGCTCGCGGAGGCTGGTTGGGGTACAGTTAGTTGGTGGGCACCTGCCGGCTGGATGAAATTGCCTGGTGGGCCGGATTCAGCCCATGGGCTGCATTTTGCCCCCCCCCGATTAACCTGTGCCTTTAAATTTACTGATGCATGCTGAACTTGCATATGTCAGGTTTCTGTTGATATGGGAGTGTCCATGGTGAAGACCAATGCAGTAATATTCCTCAAGATGCTGATGGTCTTGTGTGCCTGCTCATTCCCTTCTTTCAGAGCATGACCTTTTTTGCTTTGTTGCCTTTCACGTGGGTAGTAACATGACAGAGTTTGAGCTCTGGTTATCCATGTGCATTCTGGTTACTTTGCTGCTGCATCTTCCAGCTGGCTTTTAACCACAGCTGGGTTTTAAAAAATCAGTAACTCAATTTCCTATTTGCATAAGGGATTGTTTTAGACAAAAGCAGAAGGGACCCATCAGTTCCTCCTTCAACAATCAGAACAGCATCCGGGCTGATCACTGGCAAGAGTCAGTGGAGTATGATGGAAGAATTAGTCCTTTGCCACTGAAATCCCTTGTGAATAGGTTCAGATAGAATGGCAATAATGTACTTGCAGTGTTTAATTTTCTGTGTATTTAGAGATGCAAGGAAGTCGTTGCTGAAGATATGCTTTATTTGAGCTTTAATGGGGGAAATTAGCAGGAAATAGCTGGTATTACTGAGCTGCATGACACTGAAGAGTAAGAAAGCCTTCAAGAAAGGCGGATTTCTTTTTCAGAGAGACTGAGGGCTAAGCAGATTGAACCCATTGAAAAGAAATACACTGCCCAACTCGCACAATAGCCACAATGAGGGCTGAGTGTGTGAAACCAAGGAAGGGGCTGGCATATCCGGGACTCGGCTGGCTGACGGGTGTGTGCTGGCTCTCTAATGCGGAGAGGGAATGAACACCAATGCTGGGAGCCTTGTTTGGCCTTCAAATGGTGTTTGGATTTGGGGGCGGGGGGCATATGGGGAAGGGAAGGGCAAGCAGGAAGGGGTACTATAGGGAGTGGGAGCTGCTTAAGTATTGATGCAATGGAAAGCAGTGTGTAAATCAGTGGCACCAGCAGGATGTCATCCTCTGCACATTAGAGTTCTTTGCATGGCCTCACTTCACTCTTTGGGGATTTTTATGTCATTTGGGAGGGGGGAAAAAGTATTTTAGGAGAGAAAATCATTTCGATAAAACCAGCAGCCCCTGGAAGGTGGGACATGTCTTGTGCCTTCTGTAGCACTACTTCGGTGGTGTGCTGCTGTCCACTGATTAAGCTGTATGCATGCAAAACTTTGGCCATGCCGTATCATTTAGGGCCCAGAGTCTGTTGTTGGTCGAGCTTCTAATGCAGCTGGAGCTCAGGCAGCCTTACCACTGAGTCCTCTCAACAGGTCCTGAGCAGAGTTATTTGCCACCTCTGGTCTGTCCGTATTCGTGTTTCCATCACTTACGGAGCAGGATCAGTAGCACAGTGGTGGAGCGTTCTCCAAAACTGCCATAGGGATCTGAATCCTCAGTTTCTAGTGGAGCTGGGTGCCTGCATCCCCTAACTAGCTGTGAAAATCCCACTCTTCCTAGAGTGCCCACAGTGCCGTGACAAAACTGTGCTTCGTTGGGACTAATATGATGCGACCACCTTATGCTGGAACTTGGAGTGCGTAATGAATACCGGACTTAAGTGGTGTGTATGGCTTTGTGCGGCCCTTCTGGTTTGAGGTGTTTTGCCCAAACCTGGTGGGGCCGAGCTTTGGAAGGACTGACTGTTGTGAATTTTCTTGAATTTGTGGGTGCCCTGCCATTGGATAGCCATGCCCCTGTGATTTTTAAAGGTGATTTGTTTGTGGAATTTGCTCCTTAATACGTTGCAACCAAACTCTAGTGACCTTGAATCGATGGCACATCCTGCTTGGTTAGGAACAGTGTGGGGGGAAAAAAAAAAAAAAAAAGTCCCAGCAAACTCCCCTTATTCCAGGCACTTCCTTTTTCTTTTCTTTGCCCTGCAGGAGGTCAGCAGAGGAAAGAGCAGGACGCAGATATCCAGAAGAAGGCAAAGGACTGTGGCCGGAGCATAATCCGGGTTTCCCCGGATCAGGGATCAGACGTTTACCTCCTCAGGAAGATGGTAGAGGAAGTGTTTGATGTGCTTTATAGTAAGAACTTTCACTATTCATTTGGGTTTGTTTCCTGTTACAGCTGGAATGAGGGTGAAGAGGCTGATCTTGTTAGCAGCTGAAGTCCTACGTGACCCGGACAGGCTGAGAACTTGGAGCTTCGTCTTCCAGCCCTGCTCCATTATAGCCACTGCATCACGGTCCCTCTTCGGGGCACTAAGTTTCAAATCCGAAATGCACTTAAGCATGTGGTTAAGTTCATCCTGGCTTAGCAAGCACTTAAGGCCAGATCCATAAATCTACAGATTTCAATGGGACTTAAGTGCTTTGGGGATCTGGGTCTAAGCACTTTCTTCAATCCCTTTGCTTAAGTACTTTGCTGAAAAGGGAGAGACCTCAACAGCTGCTGTGTAAGTACTTCTGGGCCCTGTCCAGTATCTGCTGAAGTTAATGGCCCTTCTGTCACTGACTCTGAGGGCAGGATCAGGTCCTTAAGGTATTAGTTGCTTACCCTGATGTGGGCTTTTGCTGCCTCCCAGCTGCCCCTCAGTAATTGTCTGTGTGCATGCATTTACCCCATGATAGATGCAAAGTAAACGATGGTAGCCTTGCCTTCTTTCACTGAAGGACAAGTTACCATGGGTTAGCTTGCCCTTGCTACAGAGCAATAGCATGTGCGCAGGCTTTTACCACTGAGCAGCTGACCAAGAGTGTATATCCTCACCTTTGCCTCTCAGTAAAGCATTCATCTGCCCATGTCTCTGAGAGACTGTAGCACACGATGAAGGGAACTGTGAATCCTGTCTTGTACATACGGACTCCACATAGTGTTGGCTCTGCTGCAGCCAGGCGTTGAAATCAATGGGCCTAGCTGGTACATTTTCCTCTGCACAAAGGCAATAGAAGAAACCATTCCACAGCTCGTTAATTAAATGTGCCAATGAATACGTTAATATGGAAAGGAGAAAATTCCTTAATAACCGTTCCCACTGCATTCTGAGGCCAGTGGTTTGCTCCCAGGATATTTTTATAACTTACCTATGTTGTGAATGCAGCTCCTTAGGTAGTTTTAACCCCAGAATGACTGTTTAAACGTGGTGCGTTGGGGCTCTACGTTGGTTCTCTCACTGCTTCCCAGAGCACGTGCCTTCAAAAGAAGAAAGCTGTGTTTTTCTGAGGGCAAGCCCAGCAATTTGACTTCTAAAAGATGAGCTGGTTTCATTCCAGGTCATGTCATCCCAAGCAATAAAGGTTCTGCAGTTAAACTGTAGATTACTGCACAGTTGTTCACGTGATGCAGATTGCAGCAAAGAAAGCTTAGGGTTCGATATTAGGAAAATCCTTCTCACTAAGAGGGTAGTAAAGCACTGGAACAGGTTACCCAGAGAAATTGTAGACTCTCCATCCTTAGAGGTTTTTAAGACCATGGTAGACAAAGCTTTGGCGAGGATGATCTATTTGGGGATGGTTGTGCTTTGTGCAGGGGGTTAGACTAGATGACCTCTGTTGACACTGGATTTGGACCCAGCCCCTATACCTTTGTTCCGGGTGAGCGCAACCCTCAAACTGACCACAACACCTGCCAGTTGATAATAAGCAAATTTATTGATACAGAGTAAGAACAGAAAAGCAACAATACAAACAACCAAGCAATTCTGCATCTACCAATCCTAGGGTTGTCTTCAGTGTCAAAGTACATCTGGTCAGGAAGCAGGCTCCTCTCTGAGGTGTCAGCAGTTTGGAGGTGGGATGCTTAGCCCCACAGGCCCCCTCCAGTGGGGTGGATGAGACAGGCTGCTGGTATGCCCTCAGTCCATGGTGGCCTCGGGGACCTTTCCTGGGGGATGGGGATGGGAACCCCTCGCAAGGAAGAGGAGGAGGACGACAAGGAGGGATGGGACAAAGGGAGGTACCCTTTGCTAATCTCAAGTCTCTGCTTTTGTATTCTCCTTCCCTCTTAATGAATCCTGATGACTCTTCATCCGTGACTATCTCTGGGTGGCTGTCTCTCTGTGGTTACACGTCCACGTAGCCTTCTGGGCCTTCTCCTAATTTGGTCTGTTCCCCCAAAACCGGGAATCAGGCCTCCCTGCTGCTCTGGGGCCTTGTTGCTGGTGTCGCTTATCTCATGTTATGGGGCAGGATGGTATATACTTCCTTAGTGGCCAGGCTATGTGTCCTTGTTGTGTTAGACAGGCCACCTGCCTTGAAGGCTGTGATCTCATGTTATGGCATGCTCCCCTCAATTCTCAGGCTGTGTCCATTGTTGGCCTTGTTGTGCTAGACAGCCCATCTACTTTCAGGGCCATGAGAAGGGGGGGCGGGGGTGTGCATGTATGTGTGTGTGTGTCCCAAGCTCTTTAGAAATCCATTTAACCCCTGCTACCCATCTTGAACCCTTATAATGCATATATCTATAAACCAGTTCCCCAAAACTAGGCCTTTAAATGCCATTTTTAAGGCAACAACCTTCTGAGATCCCTTCCAGTGCTAATTTTCTATGGTTGTTCCTCTCTGAGCTGCGTTTGCAGACTTGAATCCAGTTTACACCCTCAGTGGGGCTTAAATCATGCCACGGCCACATGTTAGCAGCCTGTACCAAGGGGAATTGGACCCGCTGAGCTGACAGGCTGAACAAGAGGGTATTCCTTTAAAAGACCTGTTTTCAGAATCTCACTTTCTGAAGCTGTGCACCCAGGTGCACCCGAGGCAGTCACAGCCCAGCAAGACTTATGTAGAAATTAGTTTCGATGGATGGCTGTGTATGTGACAGTTCTGAGGTGTGAACCTCTAGAAACTACACTCAGTCCAGCTGACAGCTTGCAGTTGACTCCTCAGATCTCAGAATAAATATAATCCCTAATCCACTGAGCCACTTGTGTTTCTTTGAATGCTGGTTGAAAAACAAGATGCATTGCTTGCCTGAGCAGGTGACTGATTGTTGAATTTCAGCCCTTAACAGTGAAGGTCAGGTTTGTTCTTGTTTTATAACTTGACATTTCTGTAATGATTTCCCAGGCTTCTGCCTATAACCAGTCCTGCTTGTTTCTTATGTGGCACCCACAGTGTGCCTTAAGCAAATATACACATCTCTCCTCTGTGTGTGTTTATAGGAAAATGTTTAGATTGTCTGTCTTGTACCCATGATGTGTGCATGTGCTTGGTGAAGCCCCAGTGTGGCTGGAGCAATCTACTGGGTAAGGCACTGGATTGGGAATCAGGAGACATGGGTTGGCATCCTGGCTCTGCAACTGGTTGTCTGTGTCATGGGCAAAGAGCTTCTCCCCAATACACCTCTCGCAGGTGACTGGTGGGGGGTGCATGTCCCCCCAAAGAGGCCGGTGCCCCCACTGACAGCCGACACTGATGCTGTCGGTAGGCTTGGTGCCCACCCCCGAC